GACGCCCCCTCGTGCCACCCCCCGCCCCGCCCCGTGTACATGCCAGTGTTTTCCCCATGTGTTCCAAGTGCCAATAACTTTGTGAATTCCTAACTGTGACCCAGTAATAAAGATAATTGCACATTAACTACTGTAAAGAGAAAAAGAAACCAGACTGATTAAAATGAGGAAAAAAGCTGAATATCTTAATAAAAGGTTTGTAACAAATAGGACTGACCTCATGGCTGTGTTGGGTCTTTATTTACCTTTTTTTTAGATGTTTATCCAAAATGTCCCCCAGTATGAAAGCATCATGTTTTAGCTGCCTCACTGTGACACTATAAAGAGCGACGGTCTCAGACTGATGTTGAACTTCACTAGATTTCCTAAGATGCTCTTGAGGCAGCAGCGTTGAAGACCTCACCATTAGACTTAACTGGACTGAAGTGGAACAAGACTGTTTACAGGTACGCTAGCAGCTTTGTGAAACTGTACATAGGCAGCAGCACTGCTCTGAGGGAAACGCTAGCATGCTAACACACTTTTAGGGACAATGCCAACATGCTGATATTAAGTACGTATAATCTTTACAGTGGTTACCATCTTGATTTAGCTTGTTAACTTGCTAACATTTGCTAATGTGCACAAAACAAAGTAAAGCTGAGACTGATGCCATTAGTTTTGCAGGTGTTTGGTCATAAATCACGTCAACCTATGGCCTGATGATCCCGCTAGATGAAAAGTTTACGTGTCAACAGAGTTGTCGCAATTTATTTGTGTACCAAATTTAATTGGCAATTCATTCAATAGATGTTGAGACATTTCAGTAAAAACTACAAATGTCAAACTCATGTTAGTGCTAGAGTAAAGGTCAGGGGTCATCATCGTCATTAGGATATATCCCCAGGGAGCTTTGAAAATCTGAGTAAACTTTCATGGCCAGTAGCTGCTATGATATTTTGGTCTGCACCACAATGACTGACCGTTTGTCATACTGTCATCGCATTAGCAAGGCCGGCGAAGGTATGTCCTGAGGTATGTTCTTTCTGCTTGTTCTTGAGACAAAATCATTGGAACGGTTATGTGTGATTCTTGTTTGTTCTTTCTAAAGTGTCATGACGTTGCTTTAAAGGGCCCAGACGACAGTGTCGCATGTTTACAGATTTGTCTCCAAGTCTGGACACGTACACCGGGGAATCGGTTCAGCTTTTTCAGGTAAGGATCAAATCAGCCATTCAGTGTTTAGATATTGTGATATTTAATGATTTGTTTTCTATTTTACACCTGAAAGTTCTGTGATAGTTAGTAGATGTTTAACAATTCCAGAAGTGGTGTGGGTTTTTTTTTTTCTCTGATTGTTAAAGAAATGTGCCAGAAGAAGATGAAAAGATGCCACGCAATAGAATATTATCCAAAACCTTTATACCCAAAGTTATATATGTAGACGTAACCCCTTTGTAATGACCAATACTCTGATTAGTAACTGTAATTAATTACATATTTAGTCTCAGTAAGTGTAACTGATTAAATTATTTATTTTCTAAATTAATTACAGTTACATGTAACTAGTTACCTCCACTGACTGTATAAAAACTGGACAAACCCACTGGTTTTCTGAAGAGCAGTCTGACCATCGCCATATTAGTAGCGCTTTATTTCACCTGCTAGGTCTAATCCAAAAATAGGCAAAGAGGCGGAGCCTGAGTGAAGCTCTCTAGACAGCTAGCGGCCAGCAACCAATGGCGGAACCCTCCCATCTGTCACTCAAAGCGGCCACGCCCCTAATTAACTTTTAGTTTCAATATAATGGAAGGCCGCCCTTGGGGAGCCAGCCTCATGTGGCCACCAGAGGAACTGCAGGTTCCGCATTGGCTTCATTTCTCAGCCTCAGAGGTTGTCGTCTGGTTAGTCCTCAGCGGTGATTCACACTAACGATATCAAAATTTACTTTTTGTTCTTCTTCTGAGTGAGTTTTTTTTTCCCCCCTGCATTGTAGCTTGTTAACATGTTTCCCTTAAATGAATGCAGAGTTTGAGACATACTTGCAGATGTGCAGCCTCGTCATAATGTAAATTACAGTAAAGATACTCTAACAGATTTAAGATCCATGTGTATTTTCACACTTTATAAGACTAATTCTGAACTTTTTGACAAGTGTGTTTCTTTGACTTTTCAGGAATCCGATGTTCTTTCTGAGATGACTGCATGACAACACCCTTGAGACAGATGTGCCAGATGCCAACCTGCACAGGTAAGACATCAGTGTTTTCCTGGGACTGCTCTACTACCATATTCTGTCCCTGCTGGATGTTTTTGATTGAAGCTTATAAAATGACAATTGTGACAAGAGCTCTGAAATGCAGATGGGTTGCATCCTATTCTGAGAGCCGAGCCATCGTGTGACAGCATTTAAGAAATCTTCATATCCAATGGGTCACAGCACCAGCTATATTTAAGTTCACAAAAACAGTCGTGTTCAAAACGGCTTAAATCTGGAATAAAACCTGATGGTGTGTGATGGGGCTGAAGCCCGTTAACACTTTACTGTTGAGGAATTTGTCAGTTGTATTAGAATAACCCCTTTAGTCTAAGAACTGTTCAGATTAGAATAGTTCTTAGACATATTCAGAAATGTTACTTCACTTAGAGTTGAGACTGAATCTCGAGCTGTTCACGTTGCCTGGTGTTTGTTATTTTCACATCTGTGAGGTTGTAGGTTTTCCGTCCTGGGAGCAGAGCGACTGATGAAGTTAAACTAAAAATGTCAAATCCCCCAAAACAAAGTGGGAAATAAATTTGAAAGTGCAAATAGAATCTGTCACATCATATCTGTTACAGAAATACAGACCTAAAGTTTATTTGGGCTGAAAAAAATAACCATTGGCGCTGACCAGCTGACAAATCCGTGTGATGCTGTCAGTTTTAGTCTTTCACAGGACGCCTGTTACATGCCTGAATGTGTCGGTCTGCTGACTGCTGCCTGGTTATTTTCAGAGCTACTTGCAGTTCATGCAGCCACCAGAGACCCGTGCTCTGCTCATCACAGTTAAAGTAAATGTAACGTCACATGATGGTTCAGATCTTAGAATAGAGCGTGACGATGTTTCCATTTTGAAAAGAGCCTCTCAGTTAAAACTGTGTCCTGTAACATGTGCAATTTGGTGAAAGCCTGCATTTGAAATAGAAGTCGGAGGGAACTGGAGCCAAAACTACTGTGTTCAGCTAAACATCCAGCAGGAGAGCAAAGTCTTTCAGATGCATTTAAAAAGGAGCGAAGCAGTTCACAGTAACACACCACTACCATTTAGTCACTTCATGTTGAGCAAGTTTAATGAAACTTAAAAACCCCAGTGAACAATTTCAGAACCTCTAGGAGCCAATAAGAAAACAATCATACATGATTCACTTAGTGCAGATGTAATGGTTTTGTCAAGCAGCAGCACACTTCTCCTTTATGTAGTGTCTGTGAAGTCAATACGTAAAATCAAAACATACATAGCGCTGAAAAGAAGTAATGTTTGCCTGTTACTAAAGGCAGGACAGCTGCAGATACAGTATGTGCTGTTTGGCACTAAAGCACACAATGGCAGAGTTGTGCAACATTCCACCAACAAACAACTGTTATAAACAATTCATTCAAAGAAGTCTGGTTTACTACCAGAGCAACAGAAAAGACATTCAGCCAAACGTTGGCAGTTGGGCTCCGCTCAGTCACAGTTCTGATCACTGGCACTTGACCTAATGGAGATGTTTAGTTTCACCAGTCAGAGGTCAGTTCCCTACATTTAACTTTAGTACCAAGGTTTGCTTGGCCAACAGCAGAAGTAGGAGGTGATTTGGGAGATGCACTTAGTGGCCACTTGATTAGGTACACCTGTACAATCTACTGCACTCTGGTACAATGAACTGTTCTGTCATAACATCTTGACAAAGCTCGTAGCGCTCCGTTTTTGACAGTGTCAAAGATGTAAACTTTAATTCTATGTTTATAACAGAGGTAGTTACAAGTGAAGTTTACTGGACTGCATTATATCCGTTTGTCCTCCTCCTGTTTGCATACAGGAGGGGGGTCAGAGTGTTGTCAACACCTCTCGGCATAATTCAGTCCACTACATTACATCACCAGCTCTGACCTCACTGCTAAAATACAAGCGAGTCAGCACTTTGACTACATAAAAAAAAAAACTGATCATCAGCATCATAAAAGTCGACTTTATAGCTGAGCAGTTGTATTGGACTGCATTCGATTAAACAGGTGTACCTAATAAAATGGTTATTGAAAGTATAACAGAACAGCCTTTTCAATTGTACAAAAGAGATTGAAATCCTTGTTTCAAAATGTCTTTACCTGCAGACAACTGACAGGGAGCTGAAACCACGTGAGTGCTTCAGCTATGCTTGCAGCCATTTTCCAAGTGTTAAATTCTCCCCACTAAAACATTTAAGGAATGAGAGCTTGAATTTGTAAAAGCACTAAAAGCCAAAGAGTTCTGGCTGAAAACCACCTGTATCAAGTGAGTGAGAGTCTCAGGAAATGTCAGAAAACTCCTCTGTCACTGGGTGATAAAAATCACACGATTAGAAATGTCCATTTAAAGCATCAAAATTCATATACGTATTATATATATCAATGCACAGCCTCCAGCAGAGGGAGCCACAGGCCTGCATGTTTTGACATCCTGCCCAGCAACTGTTCCTCCTCATTAGCTAACCCTGTTCAATAAAACAGACAAACCCACTCAGTCTGAGCCAAGGCTGTCGCTCATCACCCAGTGAGAGTAACGGAGCCTCAGCCAACCGTGTGCTTAACCACCTGCAGAGGCACAAAGTGGCCAGGCTGCAGGCCTGACTTCACCTCACTGAGGCAGATCAGGGCAGGAAGCGAACGGTTTGTCTGCTGGCCACAGAGCCGGTACCTGTACACTTGTGACAAAGTGGCCGACAGACAAACTAAACCAGCGTCTAGTACTGGGGGTTAGGCAGCCTCCTTTTTATTTTGACCTCTAATACACCGTGTTCCTCTATGACAGGAGCTGCTGTCGTGTTGGACTGGAAGGAAAACCTGCCGACGTCTGGCCAACTACTGTCCCAGCTCCGGAGCCTACTGGGACTGGAAGTTGATTCCCCACCCTGACTCACATGTAGGCACATAAACATCCTGCACATTTCACAATGGTATAAAAATATATTTAAGGCAACACTGAAACACACACACACATAACCACTGTAGTTTTGCTTGATTCAGCTGTAAATAAACCTGCACTGAACATTGTCCAAAAGCGACTTTTTGGCTGATCAACATGCTAATAATCTGCTTTCACCAGTCAACTGATATGAATAGGTCACGTTAACTGTTCTCGGTGACGGAAACCGCCTGTCCCCTTTCTCCTTCCATAAAATACTTTTAAAAATTTTTAGAGTTCTTATTTACAAATTAGATCGTTTGTGCTTTATTACTGAGCACAGCATCATTCAAAAATGATGACTGATGAAAACAAGGCTGCTTTATAGTTTTGAAAAGAAACGAACGCTGAAGTTCCCTAACAATCCAAACTGATTCACTGATTTATCAACAAAACTACTTTAAAATCTCAAATCCTGATGTACACAGTAAGACAAAATGTTTATCAGCTAAAATGTTTACAGATGTGTCTTTCTTCCTGTCCTGATGTCCCATTAAGTACCGCTGCTTCCGACAATAACCAGAATGCACCAATGTGAAATACACAGCAGCACCAGGGTTCGCCCGGTGCTGAGCTCTGGTGCAGCAGTTTTTGTCCCACCAGAATCATTACAGCAGAGAAAGGAGGATTCAGTCATGACTTCTCTCCGCAGGCCACCGGTTTCTCCTCAGTGTGAAGAAAGGAGGGGATGGGGAGGGGGAGGAAGAGGAGAGACTCATCCCACTTCCTGTATCCGTCTGTCCTGATGGGGGAGTCGGCAGGTGTAGTCCAGAGGTCACAGACGTCAGAGAGCGAAGAAGAGGATGAGGACCACGATCATGATGGTGACCAACACACCAATCGCACACCACTGTCTCCGACCTGAAGGGCACAGCAGGGGGAGACATTCCGGCTCAGACTGTTGACTGACTGACTGCTGCCCCCCACCCCCAGGCAAAGAGAAGCTGTGAGGGATCAACCTGCTGTGGCAACATGTAAGGGCAGTATGGTAAGGCGTTTTAGCATGGATCTGCATGGATTACTAAATTAATTCTGTGCCTCAGCAGTGCTGGACGCTCATTCAACATTCAACATTCCGAATTGGCCAGAAAGCCATCGACAGGGTCCAGCTAGTGCCAACGATGGGCCGACAGCCAGACATCAGCTTGGTCTGACACCGTTTTAAGAGTGCAGCAGACTGAAGATGTTAAAGGAACAGTTCAACATTTGGGGGAATATACTTTGTTTTCTTGTGATTTCTAAACCTAAGGACTTTTAAACCCAACTTGTTTCTCCTTCCTTTCAACCTAAGCTAAGCTAACTAGCTGTTAGCTCTCGGTTCATATTTAGCCTAAAGTCATAAGAGTTACTGGCAGAAAAAGGAGAACAAGCTTCTTTACCAACATGTCACACTGTTGTTCCTCAAAGCCAAAATGAAAACTGTTTACACACTTGGGGAGACAGTGCAGCATTCAATTACACACCAGGACATCTGCTAAAGAGCAGTGATTCTGCATGCTCTGTAACTATACTGTAATAAAAACTCTAAAATTAAAGTTCACTTGAAGCTGGTGTAATTATCTTTGTACTAACACTGTAACTCAACCAGTGGAAACTAAACAATGTAAATTATCAGTTTCAGCCAAAGTGTGGAAATTCTCAGCTGCTGGCTATCGGCAGAACAGTGAGTATCGTCCCTTCCAAGAAGTTATTAATAGTGTTATTAATTACCTTCACACAATATCACTGATTGTTTTTCCAATTCGTAGCAAAAGGCCGACTTCCCTCGCACAGTTCTGATTTGTCTAAAGATTGAGAAATGCCTTTTTATGTAAAGAAGTGCTTTAACTGAAGCCAGGACTATACACGTTTTGTGTGCGTATGACAACATTTATCATCAGCCACTGCTGAGGCACAGAATTAATTCAGTAACTAGAATCCATGCAGTGTTTTTTCAGCAGCCAGTCGCTCATACCGTGCGCCTGCGTGTCAGTGTTGACAGTGTCACAACATGATACAAAGTAAAAATAACCACCAGCGCCTATAAAAATGTAACTGTGTGTGGAAACTCACTACTGGTCATGTGAGACACCTTCTCCAGCTTCTTCAGGACCGAGTCCATGCGGGATGACGTCTGGTCCATCTCGTCTCCAAACTCCCCCAACATCCTGAACAGCACACACAACAATAAAGAGTGCACATGAACACAAGCTTTACTGTGAGGACCTGTAGCAAACACACCCTTCTCTAATAGACACTTCTAGAAGTCACAGACTGTTGTGTGGCCACAGGAGCAGCTCACAAACTCCAGCCATGTACTTTTGAAGCTCATTCTTAGGAGAAATGAAACATGGTCAGGGTGTGTTGGAACAAATTTACTGACCTGGCTATCAACAGAGCCAGTAGCAGGTGGCAACAAATGTAAAGCTGAGGATAGAGCTAGAAGAAAAGCTCAAGGGGACATAAAATACTAAACTGCTTTGGAGTTGATGGGGTCAGCAGGTAGCAAGGCAACAAGGTCAGACGATGTGAAAATCCATTTCACCACCACTTGCTGTGAGTCACTGTTTACTGATGACGAAGGGTTTCTAGTTTGTGTATGTTGCTGTTTGTCCTGCTCATGAAGGTGTTAGTCACCGTCACTGGCCAACACAGAAGGAGCAGAGAGAACATTCTGTTACAGTCAGAGGTCTTGTCCTGCTTGTACTGGGTCTGATAATCAGCCTCCCTCTAGACTGTCAACAGAAACATCGTGGGACCAAATATATTAACTTACAACAAGTCATAACCTTTATATACTATAAGCATACTAAATCAAATTACAAACTGGAAGCTGTGGTGGTGGTGCTGAAGTCCTGGGACTGTGGTGTAGCTCGTTTATGGCCTAACAACAGCTTTTTAATTGAGGTGATTGTATTCAGGCTTCATAAGCCATAATTGTGATGTTTACTGGTGAAGATTATCTTGCTGAACAAAACACAAGCGTTGTATACTTTTCTCACAGAGCTTATTTTCTGAAACAATCCAAAAGCCTGTGGAAAAATCGCATTGTCTTTTTGTCAAGTGAACCAGGGTGATGCTAACTTCTGGGTTGGCCTACAAAGAAAACATCAGCTGTTTTTCACAGTCTTAAGTTCCTGAAGCGATGTGTTTCCCCACTGTGGGATCGATAAAGTTCTACCTACCTACCTACCTACAGCCTCTTTTGTCCGAGCAGCAGTCCAAATTCCTAACATGTTCACTTTATCACGTACGACAAAGAAAAGCAGAAAATCCTCGCACTGAGAGGCTGGTACCAGATCAAGGAAAACGTAGTGCGCATACTTACACAGCCTGCTCATCAAGCTCGTCCCCGATGCGTCCTGACATGTCTTTGAGGACTCTGATGCTGCCGGACACCAGCTCCAGCTGCTCGTCCTGCTCCTGCATGATCAGCTACACACAACACACACAAATTAGTCTTCACCCTTTGCAGCATCATCATTTCTGAACAGATTTTAGCCCTTTTAAACACAGCGAGTCGATTATTTTTAACCTGGCATTGTAAGTGTGTCACTAAAACCAAAATAAATAAAATCAAAGTGGCATAAAACCAGACTATCTACACTGAGCTGATGAAATGTTACAAGGTCAGCAGTAATCTTTCTTATGTAAACTTTGCCGTTGGTTCACTTCCTACTAAAACCACAACCTGCCACAGGATTTGTGATGAAATACTTTCATCATTCAACGCCACAACAAATAGAAACCACGGATTCAGACTGAAGCTGAAAATAACCCTTCCTCTTGCACATCACAGTGTGATACTGTGTAAAGCCGACAACGGTGTCATCAACCTCAGCTTGACTGCAGCAGGAATTTTCACTTCCTATTTCTGCTATGTGATTAAATCTTCCTCCATCTGTTAAAAAGGACCTCACAACAACAAACACTACAACAGACTGTTTATTGTGAAGTCTGATTTTGTACAAGTCCAAAATGTCACAACATATTTACAAATGTTTGAAAATAGCCATTACCAGGTTAGAGAGGCTTTACTGGAGGATGGAGGGGTGTTACTTTTGGTAAACTAATCTTGGTCACTTGGCTTCTGCATGTGAACCTTTCTTACACTTTCTTTCTTTAAACTCACATTTCTTGATCTCCTTAAAGTAAAACAGAGTACACAGGCTCTTCTCCTTTCCTTAATTAAACCCATCTCTTTTCACATTTTTGTACTTACCTGCTGCTGTTCCTGTTGCTCCTGGATGTATCTGGAGTTTGCCGACACCAGATGAGCCTCCAGTCCCGTTGATGTGTCCTGGCCAGGTGAAGCCAGCAGAGCCTGGACATGCACACACCAGACATGTTGTTAGCAGGGAAAAAGCATGTTTGTGTGTTATATACTAGTAGCTGCAAATAGCTGGCTCAGTGTGAGTTTGCTGGAGCTGTGCACCAGCCATGGACTGCAGCACTTTCCCAACCACAAGATACTGCAATTATTTATTTTCTGGGTCAGGGTGACCTGCCAGCACCTTGGCTGGTGTGTGAAAGGTAAGTTATGACTCACTGAAGCTGCCAAAAGCTATGAGCTGACTTAAAAAAACAGAAAGGGAAAATCCCCAAAAAGGAAGAGCAGATGAGATTTTATTCAGCGTCTGTTCACTACTATTACTCTGTACTTTTAAAGCTAG